TCCTATTCTACTACATTCTACATTCTATTCCATGTTCTGCTCTATTCTGCTCCATTCCATTCTGATATCTCGGGGGCTGTCCACAAAGAAGAGGGAGTCAAGCTATTCTCCAAAGCACCTGAGGCCAGAACAAGAAGCAATGGGTGGAAACTAATCAAGGAGAGAAGCAACTTAGAACTGAGGAGAAATTTCCTGACAATTAGAACAATTAATCAGTGGAACAACTTGCCTCCAGACGTTGTGAATGCCCCAACACTGGAAGTCTTTAAGAAGATGTTGGATAGCCATTTGTCTGAAAGGGTATAGAGTTTCCTGCCTAGGCAGGGGATTGGACTAGAAGACCTCCAAGGTCCCTTCCAACTCTGCTATTGTATTGTATTATTTAATTGTCACTAAGAAAGACAAAAAAGTATGAATTGTGTAGGTGGCAATACCTAGAAACAGCAGAACAGAAGAAAAAGAACTGGAGGATATCACAAAATACACCTGGAGCATCAATCGAACATCAGCAGCATTGAAAAATTCACATTAGTCAATTGCAAAAGGCAGCTTTACTCAGAACAGCTTACTTCCTGTGATGTAACTCTAACACTGTCAAACAAGATCTGCCTATCCCAGGTCCATGGGTAGGACTCGGTAAGTGGATAAAAATTCAAAATCCAGTCTGAACATCTAGCTGACTGTGCAATCAATCATAATAATGTTTACAATAAAAATATTTTAAAAAGGAAAAATACAAAAACCCAAAAATAACATAAATAAAAGAACACAAAGGACAGAGAAAACAGATTCAGATAGAAACACAGAAAAAGAAGAAAACAGGCTTCAGTCACTCTTGCCAAAGGTCCGAGCTTACTATAGCCACATCTTCAGGGCACCTTTCTCTATACAGGTAGGGCGGGAGCTATTCGAATCTCAGGTAGAATCCCATTCCAGGGAGCAGGTGCTACTACAGAGAAGGCATGTTTCCAGGGTCCTGATAGATGGCATTGTTTAATTGACGGACCTGCCCTCAGCACTTGGATAGGATTAGTATTTGGATAGGAGATCATCAAGAAATCCTTAGTTCTCATGTAGGCTGGAAAGCTGATTAAATATCCCCAAAGAAGGGAATGGTGTGTGGATAGTCTATGGAGTCATCAAAAAAATCAAACTTCAAGCAGGTTTGACTTTTATCAAGGGAACATATTTTCTCATTAGCAGAAATTCCCATCTTCCCCAAGAGTTAAGAACATACTGTAAATGTCTACAAGCTGCTGCCAATTTTTTTCCTCTAGCATAGAGATCCACTAAAAATATTAAGTATGAAATTCTTCTTGGATGTACCAATTTTCTGATGGTATGCAGAAAACTATTTTGCTCAATGTTAAACTAAGGTTCAGAATCCAGTTCAATTTCCATAATGAAAAAAATGTAATATTAATAAATATATGCTTTCAGT